CACTGATAGCATACCCAACTTTTCTATTGGTCAGCGGACTTTAGGGGGACTTTACTATAATCATACGTTACTTTTCTCTTAACAGAAGGACTTTTCTCTTTCCACTGGATTAGCATTACTTTTTATAAGAGGACTTTTCTATTATTCAGCGGAACTTTCGTTTGACTCAGCGGACTTTGAATGAACTTTACTATCCTCCTGCGTCACTTTTCTCTTAACAGAAGGACTTTTCTCTTTTCAATGGATGATCATTATTTTTTATAAGAGGACTTTCCTATTTTTCAGCGGAACGTTCTTTTTACTTCGCGGACTTTAGCAGGACTTTACTATCATCATGCGTCACTTTTCTCTTAACAGAAGGACTTTTCTCTTTTCAATGGATAATCATTATTTTTTGTAAGAGGACTTTTCTATTTCTCAGCGGAGTTTTCTTTTTACTTAGCGGACTTTAGATGTACTTTACTGTCATCATGCGTCACTTTTCTCTTAACAAAAGGACTTTTCTCTTTTCAATGGATGATCATTATTTTTTGTAAGAGGACTTTTCTATTTCTCAGCGGAATTTTCTTTTTACTTAGCGGTCTTTAGATGTACTTTACTGTCATCATGCGTCACTTTTCTCTTAACAGAAGGACTTTTCTCTTTTCAATGGATGATCATTATTTTTTGTAAGAGGACTTTTCTATTTCTCAGCGGAGTTTTCTTTTTATTTAGCGGACTTTAGGAGGACTTTACTACCATCATACGTCACTTTTCTCTTAACAGAAAGACTTTTCTCGTTTGAACGGATGATCATTATTTTTTGTAAGAGGACTTTTCTATTTCTCAGCGGAGTTTTCTTTTTATTTAGCGGACTTTAGATGTACTTTACTGTCATCATGCGTCACTTTTCTCTTAACAGAAGGACTTTTCTCTTTTCAATGGATGATCATTATTTTTTGTAAGAGGACTTTTCTATTTCTCAGCGGAATTTTCTTTTTACTTAGCGGTCTTTAGATGTACTTTACTGTCATCATGCGTCACTTTTCTCTTAACAGAAGGACTTTTCTCTTTTCAATGGATGATCATTATTTTTTGTAAGAGGACTTTTCTATTTTTCAGCGGAATTTTCTTTTTACTTAGCGAACTTTAGGAGGACTTTACTATCATCATGCGTCGCTTTTCTCTTAACAGAAGGATTTTTGTTTAAAATGTACATCTGTAACCAACACATTAGTTGCTTTAATGGAACCAGTTTTTATTTTATTATTAACAAGACTAAATCAACATTTATATTTTTTTAAGGGAAAACATGAAGAATTTAGTCTTGCATTTGCTGGTACAACTGTTCATGATATGTTCAATTGGTTAAAAGTACTTATTTCAATAGCTAACATTCGATTTTCTTTGAAACGGTTCGTGAAATTATTAGAGATCATCATTGTCATAATCTAGAAGAAGAATATATCCATAATGAACAGATCACCACAAAACTCAGACACAATATGACTTGAAAAAATATTAACTCTTATGCGATGATAAAATCCTATCCTTTCAACAATGGTGGACTCAATGCCTAAACAATACAGCAACAGGACCCCAAAGATGGGTCTGGAGTGATGTAGACCTTCATGTTTTACAGATGATAATACATAGAAATAGAGACAACCTCCAATTCTCGAGAAAAATACTTTCATCAAAAACGTCCGCTAATAAAAAAAATCAGTTGGTCCATTATAAATATAACGTATTTCTCGATTTTATTTAAATCTATTCAAATCTATCTTATATTTATCTGAATGAGGCAGTTCATATGAAAAACAAATCCTGAAGAGAACAAAGAAGTTCGCTGAGGAACAGAAACATCCTCTTGTTCATCATATATCTGTAATAGACTATTCCTTTGATTTAAATTTATTCAATCGTTTCTTATATTTATCTCGAGAAAAAAATCATATGAAAAGAAAAGTCCTGAAGAAAATAGAAAAGTCCGCTAGAAGAAAGAAACATCCTCTTGTCCATCATATATATATGTTACAGTTGACATGAGAATTTCAGTTGAGATTGGAATGCGCGAAATTATTAAAAACGAAAACAAAAAAAATTGTTTTTTATCTTCAAAGATTGTATAGCGCTTGCAATAGTAGTTTTCATTTAAATAATTGTTTGCAAAAAAAATATATTAAATACATTCAATACAACGTATTTATAAATTTTTTTGCTTTACTAGTAAACAACAAACCAAAGAGCTTTCACTTGATAATGTTTTTCTTTAATTTCTCTGTTATTTTGCTTGTATGAGTCATATTATAATTAATCTTCGTTTCGAAGAACGATAACAATTTTTTAAAAACTTTCATAACTGATGTAAAAGGTTTTATTTAAATAACCGTTTGCAAATAGAATCATATTAAATAGATTTAATAAAGTTTATGAAGATATAATTTTTGATTTTAGTAGTAAAATAACAGAGTAAAAAAATTATATCAATGAAGCATTCTTTGCATTGTATTTTATTAAAAAAACCAAAAATATTATATCTTGATAAATTTTTTTGATAGATGCTGCAGTATTTAATAATAGCATAACTAATTGACGAGAAATGCAAAGTCCTACTTCAAATCATGAAAAGAGTTTTCCAATACTACTCATTACAAACATTTTACTATCAACGCCTATTATGCTTGATCCAAATAATCAAATACTATCAAGCATTAATAATGAACATGATTATATATCACTTATACAAAACAAAATCAATGAGATAACTACATCACCATTGATAGCCACTAATTCTAAAAATTGCAATTCGATTGCTAATCGTCAAAATACATATAACTCAAGTGGTAAACATTCTTGGAATTTTCATCATAATAGCATGTTTCTTCACTAGGAAGTCATTTTTTTTCTCTGGCTAAACAGTAAACGATTATATTGTATTTTTTCACATCAACGACAGTTGAATATCTGTATTTTCGTATTGTTTTCAATATATGAGAAATATTCTATAACTTTTATACAATTTAGAAATGACTAGTTTTGAATCATCATCATCATTACATATTAAAGATAATTATAACTTCTATTCTGGTCATAATAGGAAAAATAAACGAAATAATTCTTTGAATTATATAGTCAAAGCGAAACGAACTTGCAAGCTTATAAAATAGAAACTTACATTTCGAATACATTTTTTCTCCTTCAATGAAGATATTACTACTATTTAGCGATTTTTTCATGTACTCATGACATGTTTTATAGTTTGTAATTTCAAAACTTAAGTTTTAAGTATAATATAAGAATGATAAAAATAGTGTATGAATCCTACTTCGATTGAAAGTAATAATTTTATTCCTTTTAATAAGTATCTCTGATAGATGAGTGATAAAATAAAAATAGAAATTGTATTCAAGAGTTCAACATAATTTATC